GTCAGGGCGGGGTTGGGGAAGGGTGTCCGGGCGGGGCAACGCGAGGGGGCGGGGCGAGGCCTGGGAGGGGCAAGGGCCACAGGGAGGGGCCACGAGGGGAGGGGCCAAGTGGGGCGGCCCTGTTTAGGCAGGAGAGGGGACTGAGTGGGAAGGGGGCGGTGTGGGGGTCGGGGGCGGGTTCAGGGTGAGGCTGTCAAGAGTGGGCTGTGGGAGTGGGGGTCCCTAGGCAGGGGATGGGGTGGAACTCCCCTGCGGAGGTGGGGGCCTCCACACACGGGGTTGGGGGCTCTGCACCCCGTGGCTGGGGCCAGTCTGAGCCCCACAGCTGAGCCTGGGGCTCTCCTGCACAGCAAGGGGTTGGGGGAGACCCTGGGGGACCCCCAGAAGGTTAGAATCTGTATGGACTCTCTGGACCCAAGGCACTGCTCTCTGGGAACTGAGAGCAAACAAATACTCAGGGGCCACCACCTCTGTCCCAGGTGGCAGAGATGGGGTCCCAGGCGCTGGGAGACAGGAGCCCCCACCCCACCCTAAGGGCTGGGTGGCAGGTTCTACCACCCCAACCCCCAGACAGGTGGCCAAGTCAGGGTAATTCATTCGTATTTTCCCTGTCAGTCAGTCTGTCTGTCTGTCTCTTTCTCTCTCTCCCCCCCTTCCTTCTTCCTACCTACCTTTTTTGTTGTTTTTGCTTGCCTTGTTTTACACTTATTTCTTATTTATTTTTTGAGATAGAGTCTGGTCCCATAGCTAGGCAGGCCGGGGCCTCCTGAGTGCTAACCTAGCCTGTCCCTCCACACCACCTTCACCATACCATGCCTGAGAACATAAATGTAAATCCATTAAAATTAGGATTTGGGCTGGAGGGGGTGGTGAAGGCAAAGGATAGCCCTGAGCTCAAACACCAAAACCCCCACAAAAAATGGAAACACACTGGGGGGCTGGAGGTGCAGCTCAGTCCAGAGTGCTTACCAGCATGAGGACACAGGTTCACTCTCAGCACCAAAAAAAGGAAAAAGATTTTTAAAAAATCAAGTTTCAGTCACACCAGCTCCGTTTCTTTTTCATCTTTTTTTTTCTTTTTGCCGGTGGTGGGGCCTGAACTTGGCCTGGGTGCTGTCCCTCAGCTCTTCAGCTTAAGGCCAGTGCTCTACCACTTTGAGCCACAGCCCTACTTCTAGCCTTTTCTGCTTATGTGGTGCTGAGGAATCAAACCCAGGGCCTCATGCAAGCAAGGCAAGCGCTCTACCACTGAGCCACCTTCTCAGCCCGACCAGCTCTGTTTCAAAGTGCTGATTTGCCAGTTAGGGACTCCATGGACAGCGTACACACACACGGAACATTCCAGAATGTTCCACCCTACAGGGAGCTCCATGGCTGCTCCTGTGGTTCTGGAAGGGATGTGGACTGAGCCTCTCCTGGGAAGCATCACTGTGCCCCAGTCAGGCAGAATGCCAAAACACAAATGTTCTGGTCCCTTCTATAAGATGGTGTGATGCCTGCAAAGACTTTCCAGACATCACTACAGGACTGAGATTACGTGAACACAATGGAAGCACAAGGGAAAAGGCTATTACACTGTATTGCCTATAGAAAAAAGGACAACATCCTGACTGGGCACTGTGGCACATGCCTCTAGTCCCAGCTACTTGGGAGGCTGAAAGAGGAGGATTATTTGGAACCAGCATGGGCAACATAACGGCTTCCATCACCCCAAAAAGAAGAGAAGCTGGGCCGGGAGCCAGAGGCTCACGCCTGTCAGCCTAACTACTCAGCAGAATGAGATCTGAGGATCGAGGTTCAAAGCCAGCCCAGACAGGAAAAGTCTGTGAGACTCTAATCTCCAATAAACCACCAGAAAACCGGAAGTGGTGCTGTGGCTCACGTGGTAGAGCGCTGGCCTTGAGCTGAAGAGCTGAGGGACAGCGCCCAAGCCCTGAGTTCAAGCTCCATGACCAACAGAAAAAAAAGAAGAAAAGAAAAGAAGCTGGGTGCAGTGGTTTGTGACTGTAATCTTAGTTACTTAGGAGGTGAAAATCTGAAGGATTGTGTTTTGAAGCCAGCCCCAAACAAAAAAAGCCCATGAGTCTCCATCTCCAAAATAACCAACAAAAAGTCAGAGTGTAGGCATGGCTCAAATGGTATGATGCTAGCTGAGAAGCACAGGCTCTCAGCTCAAACCCTGGTGTGATGCCACACATTTCTAAGCCCAGCTACTCCGGAGGTGGAAGCAGGGGAGCACAAGTTTAAAGCCCACCTGGGCAGCATTAGGAAGACTCTATCTCAGAAACAAAACACAAAGACTGAAAGGGCTGGCGTGTGGCTCGAGCGATGGCTTTCTTACCCCGCTGGAGACCCTGAGCTCCCTCCCTAGCAGCAGGAATGAATAAGTAAATTTTGTGCATGCTCAGAACAGAAGTGGTTTGTTTTGAATGCGTTCAGTCTGCGGTTAGTTGATCTCTTGGATACTGAGCCCATGGCTGCCATGCTCAGTGCTGCCCATGGTTCCCCTCCCACCAGGGATCCGATCACCCGTGTCTGGGACCAGGCCCCGCTAGCCAAGTGAGAGCTCGCTAGTCGGCTGGCTCCGTACCTTGAAGGCCTCCCGCCGCTGGTATTCAAGCTTGGCCATCTCTTCAGCCACCCAGCCTGGGATGTCGGGGATAGCCACGTGGATGAGGTACTTGAGGAGCAGAGCGAAGTGCTACAGAGGGCAGAGAGGAGGCTGTGGGCTTCTGGCCAACACCCCCCCCGCCCTCTCCCCACCCCCACCCCCCTGTCCTGTGCCCAGCTCCCGCCACCAGCTGCCATTCCCACCTCGAGCACCACCACGGACACAATGGCTGCCTCCGGGCTCAGCCAGGGGAAGAGGCGCTGCAGCTGACCGCACTGGCCGATGAGGTAGCAGTTCACCACGATGGCCAGCACGCCCATGGCCTCCATCACCTTCTGCAGGGGGGCAGGGGGTTTAGAAGGCCTCTGGCCCCGTGGGCCTCAGCTCCCAGCTCCCTCTGGGCTTCAGCCTCCTGCTGCTGCCCCCACCTGCCACTGGCCGATGCTCTCCACCCGCTGGCCGAAGGGCCGCTGCAGGCCTGTGCAGAGCTTGAAGGCATCGCTTCGGATCTCAATGAGGTTGTTAACCAGGGCGCAGAGCGCAGCCAGCGGGAAGGCTGAGGAGAAGAGCACGACGTAGCCAAACTGCACAAACATCTCCTGGTAGTCCTGAAATGTGTCCTGCGGGCAGGTGGCTAGCCGTCAGACCCACACACCTCCTCCCTCAGACCGCCTTCCTCCTCCTACCACACTGGGCTCCCTGGGATCTGACTCAGCAACGCAGAGGCCTCTGGCCTCCACCCTCGCTCGGGCCGGGTGCCTGCCTCACCTCGTACTTCCTCATGCAGCTCTCCAGCTCGGCCTGGGTGAGCTGGGGTGAGTGCTCTTCTTCGGGAGGGTCAATCCATGAAGACCGGTTCTGCTTCCTGGGCCTCCCGGCAGAGTCCCCAGAGCCAGGCTCCAGGTCTGGGCCCCCGTCTGGTCCCTGATCCCGGCCCTCGCCCCCAGCCCGGCGAAGCAGGATGGTCGGGGGATCTCGGTCAGGGCTGCCAGGAGGCCCCTCCGTCTCGTCGTCTTCCTCTGCCAGTGTAAACACCCCTGGCTCCAGCCCCTTCTCCACCATGGTGGGGCTCCCCTCCTCCAGGGCTTCTGGGCTTGGGCCAGGCCGATGGCGGCCAGCCCCACGCTCAGCAAAGCTGACCTTCTTCAGCCGGAGTCCGCAGTCTAGGAGGCCCCCTTCCTCACCCTCGTCTTCATCCTCCTCCTCCTCTTCCTCTTCGTCGTCCTCCTCCTCCTCTTCCTTGCCACCTCCAGGCCCATCCCTGGCCTCCCCACCCTCTCCCACTGGCCTCCGCTCTATGACTGCCTCTTCCTCCTCCTCCGGCGCCCCACAGCCCCCGCTGAGACACCTGCGGCCCCCGCCACCGCCCTCTTCGGCTTGGGGCTCCAGGCGGTGGTGTGCTGGGCGCCGGAGGCTCAGGAGGCCAAGCACGGCTCGGAGGAGCTCCCAGACAGCCCTGAGTCCCAGCTCGCCACAGCCCAGCCGGCGGTAGAGGTGCGGCTGCAGAACCTCACGCACGTTCTGGAGGAACTGGCGGGTGATCAGCAGTGTGGCCAGCATCTGGGCAGGAAGGGTGTGGAGAGCCTCCGTGGGCACCAGGGCAGATCACCCACTCTCTGAGGACAGCACCCAATGCTAGCATCCCCCCCCCCTTCGGATGCCCTAGTACGCAGCCTGGCACCCACAGCACAGGAAGACAGTCTCTTGGCTGACCAGAAGCCAGGGCCCAAAACCTCACGGACCCCTTCTGCCTGTGTGGGTCCTGGGCCCAGCCCCTCCACGCATGCGCCATCAGCTCCATGTGCCCACCCCAAGCGCAGCCACTGCCCACCCGTACTTGGGCCCGGGCGGTGAGCAGGAGAACCCGGAGGGACAGGAGGAGCAGGTGTAACCTCAGGGCCACGAGCGGGACCAGCACAGCCCGCAGCTGCCGCTCAAGGCTCTGGGACAGGGACAGGACGAGCAGGAGCTGTGGATGGACCGACGGACAGGTGGACGGACAGATGGGGGGGCAACAGGCAGAGAGAGGACACACGGACGGACAGAGAGGAGAGAAGGATGGAGGAGGGGGGGAGGGGCTGCAGAGCCCTAGACCCCTTGCACGGCCGGGCCCTCGGCGCCAGGCGGGCACTGGGGCGGGGCAGGCCGGAGTCTCACCTCTTTCAGGCGCTCCATGTCCTTGAGGTAGAAGCCAATGTAGAAGAGGCTCAGGTAGGAGTTGACAAACTGGAACTGCAGGAGGCAGTCTCCCATGGTCTCCCTGGTGGTGGCGGCCACCCCCGCCTCCCTGCCACCCCTGCCCTGCGGTGGCCACTCACCAGGACAACCTTGATGATGAGATGCTTCTCGTAGGCGCTCTCTAGCCGGTAATTCTCTGGGGATGGAGGAGGCACATGAAGGGGGTCACCCTGGTCCCCAGCCCTAGCAGGCGCCCCCCAGGGTAGGAAGTCAGGCCCTGCAGCAAGGGCGTACCCATGTCGTTGAGCCAGATGGCCAGCTTCTTATAACCCTCGGCACTCACACTGACCAGCAGGGCCAACACGACCTTGGGCAGGAATCGGGCAAGGCGGGGCAGCCCCTTCATGCTCAGCACCAGCTCCTGCAGGGCAAGGTGTGCAGCCTCAGCTGGGGGGGGGGGGGAGGTCAGGCGTCGGGCCAAGGCCAGGGCTGGGGACACGGGGTCACCTGCAGCTGGAAGCATCCTAGCATGAGCAGGAAGACGCAGGCCAGGCAGGCCAGGCACAAGGGTAGGCTCACGAGCAGCTGGAAGAGCAGCCGCTTCCAGGGTGGGTAGTAGAACTCCTCTGCCCGCGTCACGGGGCTGATGCGGCGCACACCCTGGCAGAAAGCAGGGGCCAGGCCGGCCTGAGGCCAGGGACCTGCCACTGCCCGGGCGTCCTCCCAACCTCCCATCTGCTTCCCTCTGCCAGACCTCTGCTCTTGGGGGGCCTCCACCTTCCCACAGAACTCCTCTGCAGCCTTATTCAACACCTACCGGGCCTCACCCCACTTGGCACAGCCTCCCTTACCCTGACTCAGCCCCACACTGACCCTGAACTGGGGACGAGGCTCCTCCACAGCTTCTCCAGGCGAGTCTAGCGTCCCCCACTTGTAGGCCAGCTCCGCCCCCCTCCGTTTCCACTCCTCCAAGAACAGTGTTGACCAGATCACGTTGAAGAGAGCAAAGACCACACAGGACACATCCCGGCTTGTCTGGGAGTGGCAGAGAGCAGGGCCATTAGGCTAGCTGGCCCAGGGAGGAGGAGGCCCCCAACCTGTGCCCAGTCCCCTCAAGGTACCTGGTCGGCCTCTGTAAACGTGTACAAGACAGAGCCAAAGACCGCCGGGTACACCATTGCTGAAGTGTAGAAGCCCAGCCACGCAAAATACATGGCAATCTTCACACCAAAGTAATCACAGATATCATCTGCCAGGAATGGGGGGGGGGATAACCAGTCACTTTTACCTGCCTCCTGGGACCACTGCCCCTCCCCCAACCCACCTACTAGCTTGAGGCCACACCTAAAGGCTGGTTTTCACACACAGCCTGCACCCATGACTTCATGAGGCGGTTGAGGATGCGCTGCTCATGGACAGGGAAGACCTGCTGGATGATCCCACGGGCAGCCAGCTCCGGGACTGTGGGGACAGGAGCACAGTGAGCCCCTGGCCCTCTACCAGGCTGCTGTCCTGGCCAATTTCCCACACACACACACACACACACTCCAACAAAGGAAGAGGCACAGTCTGTGACCCGGCTCTTCCCAGCAGGGACATCCTGGATGGATACAAATATCCAACTCTCCTTAGAAACCAGGAGGAGCAGGGAAGAGTACAGAAGACCTTCTCTTCTTTTGTTTTTGATAGGGCCTTGTGCAGCCCAAGCTGGCCTGAAATAGTGTATGCAGCCTAGGCTACACACTTGCTATTCCTTGTTTTGTTTTTTTTGGTCAGTCATGGGGCTTGAACTCAGGGTCTGGGTGCTGTTCCTGAGCTCTTTGGCTCAAGGCTATAACTCTACCAATTGGAGCCACAGGTCCACTTCCGATTTTCTAGTGGTTAATTGGAGAAAAGAGTCTTGTGGATTTTCCTGCCCGGGCTGTCTTTGAACTGTGATCCTCAGATCTCAGCCTCCTGTGTAGCTAGGATTACAGGAGGGAGCAACTAGTGCCTGGGTCAGTCGTCCTCTTCTTCATCTTCCTCAGCCGTGGAATTACAGGCATGTGCCAACCACCATACGCAGCCACCGTGTTTATGAAACACTGTTTGGCCTGAGTGTAGCCTGAATGTCTAAGGAGTGGTAGGAGGCTGGCATGGAAAGGTAAATTTGGGACGGCTGGGTTCCTACAGGGGAAACCAAGGCCCCAGGTTGCCGCAGCACAGGCCATGGGGTGCTGCTGTCCATGGTCCTGTCCCTAGCCAGGGCGGACTCCGTCAAGGGGCTGAGCCAGGGGCTGCCCTGGGTTAAGCCCCACCCAGTCACAAGCCACGCCCACCCACTCATTGGTCGGTCGGCCCCGCCCCTGAGGGGGTCACGCCCCTGCCCCTGCCCCTGATTGGCGGGCATGCTAAGCCCCGACTGGTTGGGCCTAAGCCACGCCTCCCTGCCCTGTTAGTATCTCTAAAAGGCCTGCCCAACTTGTAGCCCAGGATTGGAGGGCAGGCCCCGCCTTGCTCACTGATTGGCTGGTCCTCCAGGAAGCGCACGTTGTGCAACGCCTCGCCTTGCTTGGCTCGCAGGTTCTGCAGCCAGAAGCGGATGATGCTCTGGCGTTCCTGCGGTGGAGAGGGTGGTGCAGTGGCGAGGGTGCGAGCCGGGGCAGCCCGCAGGGCGGGCCGCGTGCGGAGGGGACGGGGCGGCTCACCTGGGAGGTGAAGAAGCGCAGCTCACTCTCCACATTCTCATAAATGAAGTCCTCGTCGCAGGAGAAGCCCCGCGTGCCTCCGCCGAACTCGGCCTTGACGGCCTTGCGCAGGCCCAGCTCGTCCGCGCCTCGGAGCAGGCTGCAGGGAGGGCAAGGGAGGTGGGCTCGCGGGGCGGGCCCGGCTCACCGTCCCGAGCATCCCGGGTGGCTGGCCGAGGAAGGAGGGGCCGCCAGAGGCAGGGACTCGCCTCTCGTAGGTGGCGGTGACGAAGAAGGCGTAGGCACGCGTGTGGCGGTGGTGGCGGACTTGCACGATGAGCTCGGGGATGCCCACGCGGATGTGGTTCAGCAGCCAGAGCAGCGTGTGGTCGTCGGTGGAGTCTGCGAGGGACAGGGCGGGCGTGGGCGCGGGCAGGCCCGCCCTCCTCACGCCCGGGCGGCCCTGGGCGCCCCGTACCTGGGAAGGTCATCAGCACGTCGCAGTTCTCCGTGGGCACCGTCTTCATCCAGGCTTTGTGGGACACCAGGTAGCGTCCCGCCTGCAGAAGCCGCTTCCCGAACAGCTTATCTGGGGGCAGTGAAGGCCGGGCTCAGGGCCGCGCCGCCGCTCCGCACCCCAGCCCCCACCGGGGCTCCCGGCGCGGCGTCCTGCCTGGCTCGGTCCCTCTCCGTTTGGCTTGTTCTCCGGTCTCAACGTCCTTGAGGAGCCCGGAGCGTCTCCGGGAACAGCCGCTCCCCCCCCCCCGGCTCCCTGCGAGTCTCACTCGGTCTCTACTCGGCCTCCGAAGCCACCGCAGACCGGCCACGCGTCCGCGCCGCAGCCGCGAGCTGGGTGCGGGTCTCACTCACTCCCACCACGCAGGCACTGAGGCCCCGAGCACGGAAGTCACGGGCCCAAGGTCACCCAGAGGATCCGGGGTTCGAACCCAGGGCCGTGCGGTCCCGAACGCAACCCTGTCCCCCGCGATCACGAAGCCCCGGGGCGTCGGGGCCAGGCCCGGGCGACGGGCTCTCCGGGGCGCGTCCCCGCCCCGAGCCCGCCCCGGCC